TAATAAAGGACATATTACAACCAATTTAAAGAAAGAAAGAAAAGTTGACGATAATGTGCTACTGATCCAATGTTACCATTATTAATGCCAAACCTTGATGARTTCCCACAACTAAAATATTTTATGTGAAAATACTCCAGTCAACATTTCCCTTCGATAAGTCACCAAACAAAACGTCTCAGGTTAAAGCACAAGTCTTGTTTTAGAAGAAGCTGAAATCCTGCGACCTGACATTTAAATAAAGACACAAGTCACTCCACTGCTCCTGTTACTAATCCTGCCTGTTTTCTGTCCTACATGCTCAGATGAAAGCTGTTCCACAGACAAGATGAACAACTCAACAAGGTGCAAGATTCCTTTGTGGCCAGTGCACACACACAAACACACAAACACACAAACACACAAAAACACAAAGTGAAACATCCCCCCATTATAAATGTGTTGACAGGCTTATTCGTCTTTGTTGGATAACTCCATTTTCAGAACAGAAACACCCAAAGTATATTTATCTGCACACATGAGCACATGTATGGATATTCAGTTACTGTTCTTTTGTATTTTGCATATTTTAAATAATCTTTATGTGCTTGAAAAGAAATGTGGTTGTACGATTTAGAAAAGTTAATAATACTGTGTGTGTTCGGCTGATTTTCAAGTTTGCACCAGGATTATTAAAATCTACACGTTTAGTGACTATTATCTGAGGTGTAGATCACTGAAATTCATTTATTTTGGATAGGAACCACCTGCTGTGAAAAAGCAGCATTAAATGTGCCATCACCTTTTTTTTTTTTGGTCTCAAGGACACTTTCAAATTCACACATTTTTAAAAGAATGCAGCTTCTCAACTTTAATAAATCCTACTCGTGTTAAACAAATATATTTTAGATTATAATACTAAAACTGATCTGATTATAGTAAAAATATTTTAAAATTGATTCATATATTTATCTTTTCCTGTCACAATCATATAAACACTCAAAGTTTGATTATTGTTCAAATCCTGTCTGCATTACTTCGCTCATTTCTCTCTCCGAACATTTGTTTTTTTCTTGAATTGTTCATTTTGCATTTTCACCACATTGGTGTCTGTACATATATTTGAGCCACACTGCAGGTATGAAGTCACTTTTTTTCTTTTCTCAGTTTTAGTTTAATTAAACAAATGCAGAAACATGCATGCAAACAGATAAAAATGATTGATGATGTTCCTTTTTTTTTACTGTTGTTTAACCAGGCAAATCCCATTGAGATCTGAGATCTCTTTTTCAAGGGAGGCCTGGGCCTGAAGGCAACCTGCTGCACATTTTTGGGGTGTGGGGGAAACTGGAGTACCTGGAGAAAACCCACACAGGCAAGAGAAGAGGAGAACATGCAAACTCCACACAGAAAGACCCCAGGTTCAGACCGGGGATCAAATCCAGGACCTTGCTGCGAGGCGTCAGTATTAACCACTGAGCCGTTGTGCTGCCGATTTAAATTTAAACATTTAAAAACAACACCAGACCCCATCAGACACTTCATTAAACAGACACTAAAAAGTCACACTGCACTGACCGCACTTCTCATGTCAGTATTTTTGCCCTTTGACCTCATCTTACTCTGTTCCAGAATGCTTCTCTGACATCCAGCAGTGATTCCAGCGATGCGTCCCCCGTGTCCCACCAGCCTCACATAAACGTCTCGTGTCGTGTGGTTAGCTATGCGTAAATGGAGGCTCCGCCGGGTTGTGATCTTAACCTGACATGTTAAAGCTTCAGCCACGACTACTGACGATGAGGATGCTGACGATTCTGCAGCCTCCCCTGGGTAGAAGACTTGGAGAGGCCCAGCCTGGCRCTCCTCCATCCCCTCTCCATGCGGTCTCTGAGGTGTCAGAGTCAGTTCGACTGTTCCGCTCTGGCTTCCATTGTTGCTCATGTCGGGACGATCTCGGCCTCCAAACTCCAAACTGCTCTTTACAAGACCCCCTCCGACATCACTGCTGTTTCTGTGCTCGACCAGCTCCATGGTTCAGTCGGGTGACACTCTCCAGCCCAGCTGTCTGCAGGCAGACCCCCGACACACTGACTGCTACACGCCTAAACATATACCACGAGACTTTAACCAGACACATGCCCTGACTGATACACATGCCCTCTGTGATATTAACAAAGAGTGGAGGGGGCATTAGTGGAGGATCAGGCCCAAAGCTGCAGTTTCTATATATAACCCGGTGGTCCTCGCTGCAGATGGGGCAGCTAATCTAACTGTGATTATAGAAGAGCAGGCCTGACCCCGCTGTGGGATGGGGATCATTTTCTTTTCCTTCACACATGTCTGTTTTTATCTCTCTTTCCTCCTAAGATACACTTTGATCTGTAAAAACAGTTACAGACCAAACAAACATTATTCAGTAAAGTCCACCGCCTGAGCCCCCCCGATTAATGAGAAGAGACATCACGTCCACGACCCGGGGCTGTGTGATGCCGCCGGAGTGGAAATGAGGTCTAAAAAGTGAGGCAGAAATACCAAAACATATATAAATGAAGGATCTGTAGCTCTAACTAAAATGAGAAAAGCGTGTGTGTGAATTTTTGTGTTTAGGGAGGGGACAGACTGTCCCAACAACACAAGGTCACAACTGACCTTGGGTCAGCTTCCTGTTCCCCCGTCTAATGATTGAGATTAGAGCTCTGAATATAGTTGGTGATCCTAGACCATCTTGAGGACATTTTATCCTACAGTCCTGGCAGCAGCTTCTTGAGTCAGCGCTTTAGTTTTAAGATGCAAACATGCCTGTGGGAATCTAAAACAACTAAATAACATAAGTGATAAAACAAGTTCACAAAAAACAGCATTTCATCAACTCTGTTTAATTTTATCCTAGTTCAAATTATCTAACATGCTTTATTATTCTTAAGAAATGTTTTATTCTCCCTTTGAATGATCAACAACTAAAACATTAAATAGTTGATACAGTATGTTTACAACAGAGCATCAGGAAACCACAGAGGGAACCAAAGCTTTTTTCAAATTCAATTTAAATCCCATACTCCTCTTGTATTTTGTCAATAAGCCCCCGGTTTCAGACACACCTCTTCCCAAGATAGATCTTTGACCCTGAGCTATAGAGGAAATAATTAGATTGTGTTATGGGGAAATGAGGGGAAAAACAGAGATCAAGAAAAAGGAGAGCAAGAAAGGGAGAACATGGCTGTAATTTCTGCATGAGGAGCCTGTTTGTGAAAAGGAAAAATTGCGAGGGTGTAAAAAAAGCCAAATTCTGTCAACGTTTTGAGATTATTGCTGTAATTTCTGATATCGATGTTTCAAGTATCTTGTCTTGTTTGTTTCTGCCAGGTTCTTTTCAGTTGTCTGTGTTTTCTGTTACAGTCTGGTCTGGTATCTTATTTTATAGGTTTTTTTTTTTTTTTTTTTTTTGTTCTCAGCCATCGTTTCCCCTGAGCTCTGTCTTGTTTTGTCACACACAGAGTTGTAAAGTAACTAAGTACAAATACTTTGTTACTCTACTTAAGTAGGAATTTTGGTTATTTGTACTTTACTTGAGTAATTATTTTTCAGCGTACTTTTTACTTTTACTCATTACATTTTTACACAGTTATCTGTACTTTCTACTCACTACATTTTTAAAAAAGGTAAGAAGAAGAAAGTCGTTACTCCTATTTTATTCCGAGTTGTTTTACTTAGAAAAAACTATCCTGAAAAATTGTGTCTCCTGGATAAAGTGAATTTAATTGTGATTAGATGAGAAGTGTAAATATATACCATTCTGACACACTATTAGCTTGAACACAACCCATCACAGCTGCACGCTGTTAGAAAAAATATGTTTTGGAGAAGTCACCTCCCAGTAAATGTCCTTTTGGAAAATCAAACTGCTCACTTTTACTCAGTACGTTTACTTTTAATACTTAAGTAGATTTTGTGTCAGAAATTTACTTTTGATACTTAAGTACAAAAAATATCTGATACTTTAAGACTTTTACTCGAGTAATATTTTTAGAGAAGACTTTAACTTTTACCAAAGTATTTTTATGATAAGATGCTTGTATCACTGGTCACACACCCCTGTCAGCCTTCTGTAATCATCTCACCTGTTCTCACTTGGTAATCCTAAAACCCAGTAAATAAAAGCTCCTCCTTTCCTTTATCTGTACGTTTGGGTCTCTGTGTCACTTTATTAAATCATTTTGTGGTCACAACAATAACACCAAAGCAGCTGGAGAAATTTTAAAAAACTGAAGCTATCACAGCGTACGGTAAACAAACAAACTGTGGCACCATGATCACGTCATCCTGCATCGAAGCTCAGTCAGAGGCAGTAAAGATGCTCTGTGGACCTCCCTCACATCTGCCTGCTGCTGGTTTCTTTTTCTCCTCAACACGTTTATAATCAGGGCAGCAGTTAGAAATGGGTTCTGTGTGAGTAAGCTCCGTCCTTTATATTAATCGTCCTCATCGAATCACATCTGACTGCAACCTTTTCTTTTCAAACCCTTCTTTATATCACTTCTCATGAGACATGTTTTTTAAATTCAATTCATATAAAAAAGTATTTGTTTGTCTTTAATTGACTTTTTTTTACAGCTTGACTTCACAATGAGCCGATGGTGTAATTTCCTTCTGATGTTCTTTTTATTTTCACCCCTCACTTCTGTTACATTCAGCCTCTACTATATATCACCAAACCTCTACCCACAAATCTCATTAAGATTTAGGTTTTAATGATATAGATTTCTTATGTGGACAACATCAATTTACCAAGTGGGATCAGGGGGCAAAAAAAAATTCTGATTGTTTTATTTTCTCTTCTCTTCCACATTAACACCATTAATTCGTTCTGAAATAGAACTGTTAATTACTTATCTTTTAGGTTCGGGGTGTTTTTTTTCTCAAATGAATAAGTTCAATGAGAAATATTTAAATGCTATAAGATCAGAGAGTACAGCTGATTTCTGGGACACGATGTTGATTTAAAAACATATATCAAAGTTCTTGTATTGATGTTGAGTCTAATGCTGGATTTGAGTTTTATGCTCATGTAAAAAACGCATGCAGCATGTATTTAAATAAAAACAACCAATAGTGGTCATCTGAACAAACAAAAGCAGGAGTGTGCACAAACAGCTGTTTATGAAGAAACAAACAGCCAAAAGCAGAAGTTTGGGTCAGTTTTCCGAAATGACGCAGCAGCAGATGTTGGACATGCGGCTGCATTTTTAATGTCAAAGAGTACATGACTCTGTAAAAAACACACACACACACGCAAAGTCAAACCCAGACTCTCTGAGGCATGGTGCGAACCTCAGGGAGGATCATGGGAGGCGTATTTTTAGTGTGCCGCAACGGGCGTCTCCTGGGAGACGAGGCTGATGGAGGGGAGGAAGCATCAGCTGCTCAATTAACTCCGACTGAGCTGCCGGTACACGAGGGAGACCCAATGTGACTTTCCAGAGGGCGTGCAGTGTGCAGCTGTGGTGTGTACCGTACGACCAGACTGAGCCGTGTCATCTTACTGCTGTCCGTCGCCGCTGCCGCCGCCTCGTCGTACTCGTTGGTGGAGGGCAGAGCAGGTACCAGAGGCTCCATGTTCATGATGAGGTTTTTGTGGCTCAGAGAGTTAAAGCTTTGACTCTGACCAAACTGGGCTCTGGAAAACACCAACAATAAAAATCATCTGAGCTTATGACTGAAAATAAAGYTTGTTGATGTTTACAAAAGGGAATCAGGTAATATATGCAGTATGTGTTGGGGTGATCAGTTATTCTGCACTGAACGATCTCACCTGTGAACCTCGGGTGGCTCCCTCTGGATCTTAGAGCTGGCTTCTATCACTTCTTTAGCTACTCTTCCACTAATGAAAGAAGAAACAAACAACCGTTAATATTTAAAGTGTGAAAAACTGCTTTAAATAATACAGTAATCAAAACTTAGGCCTTCACTGCAAAAACTGTCCATCTTACCAAGTTTTAGAATCTTATATCCAGCCAAAAAGTCTTTTTGATCTTGTTTTGAGACTGATTTACTAAACAAGAACTGATTGTGTAAGAATAATAATCTTGTTTTCAGAATGTGTAAGATTATTTGTCTTCTTAGTCTGAAAATTTGACTCAAATTAAGTCAAAAATTTCTGCCAGTGGAGAAAGAAATATTTACTTGGTAAGATTCTTGAAATACTTGACACCATTTGACTCATTTTTTTTCTTATTTCAAGAATCTTACAAAGAAAAATTTCTTACTCCAATGGCAGACTTTTTTGACTTAATTTGAATCAAATTTTCAGACTAACAAGYCAAATAATCTTACACATTCTGAAAACAAGATTATTATTCTTGTACAATCAGTTCTTGTTTCGTAAATCAGTCTCAAAACAAAATCAAAAAGACTTTTTGGCTGGATATAAGACTTTAAAACATGGTTAGGTGGACATTTTTTGCAGTGGTAGTGAAATGACTGACAAAAAATGTAACAAACATAAAAAAAGAAAAACAGCCAGAAAGAAGAACAGGTGAACGTTAAAGATGTTGCAAAGATATTATTTGTAAAACTTATTTAGAAATTAGAATTAATGGCCAGATGAAATGTATTAAATGCTTATATTTTGTCTTTGTATTATTGAAAAATGAAAAAAAAATAGTTACAGCAAATTAGTTTTTCTCATAATTTCCCTGATAATTTTCATCTTTGGTTCCATGAGGGTGAATAAGAGCAGTTTGTGGATTCTGACTCTTCAGGACCAGCTTTCGCCACCATCCTGCTCATTAGTCCATTGTTGTTGAAATTGGTGGTTAGGTTGTAAATTACAGGGTGAACTAAGAGATCTGTGTGGCACATTCAAAGATCTGAGAGAGATCAGAAAAAAGGTGATGAAAATGACTGGAATCAGCAGGACTAAGGGCACATTTGTGCCTCAGTTTGTGGAATTTAAAGCTCCCATATTTCAGAACCAGTTCCTCTGTTTATTCTTACTCATCAATAAGCAGCTAAGCAAGACTGGCATGGCAAGCTGATGAAATGGAGCTGAGTAAACTGTAAACCTGGTACACAGCTCAGTCTGAGAGGAGAATATTWGGTGTTGATGTTGCAGCATTACAATAATAACATAATTAATACTCATATTTTCACAGTGGTCTCAGAAAATACACCAACGCAGATGAACCATCTCACCTGTATCTGAACCTGCTGCCTTTGAAGAAGATGTTGCTGCTCGAAACAGTTTTTATCTGACTCGACTTGGCACACCTGTCAGAGAGAGAGGAGAAGAAACTAAAAGAAATGCATGCAAAGAAAAGCACTGTTACGTAACTTTTGTAATATACATTACATGGCATATTTCTGGATTCAGCAATAGTTAGTGGCTGAAGCTGAATGTCAAACCCTCGTGCTTCATTCTGTTGATTTGTCACATGAAACCAGACTGCAGAGCAGCGGAGCTGGTGCCACACGCTCTGCTCCTCATCACAAACCTCTTCCTGGCAGACATTTACAAACTCGGTTTCCTCTGATTTGATTTCGCATCTCTGATCCTTGTCTGACATCCGAGCTTGACAATCCCTCTTTTTTTTCTGTCTGCCTCTCAGAGACACGCTGGGCTTTAAAAAATCAGCATACATGATCATAGTGGTGGATTTTTAACCAGAAAGCTTTCAGGACTACATAACCTGCTCCAAAAACCTGTAGGATTTTTATTCCAATGAGTTATTTTGATACAAACTCATTTATCAAAGCAAGAAAAGTTAATGAACAGACTAAACTTAGATTACAGGTAACATTCTGAGTGTGGTTGTGGTGAAAATGTGTCATAAGAAATCAATCACAAAGCAGCAACTTCTTATATCAAACCTAAAGCAAATCTTATCTCCTCAGACTTGAGTACATATGTACAACACTTATAAAGTGTTTAAGTTATACATTTGAATAAGTTACATTCTCAAATGTAGTTTTAAGGTTTTTTTTCTCTTTTTGTCAGTCTCAAGTGTGTAAATCCATTGCTGGAATATRTTCCAAGTGCAATACACAGTGTTGCTAACTTGTATTAATTATTTTTCCTGTTCTAAATATAGCAGTGTGAAGTCTTGCACAGTTATAGTCTTTTTATTGTGGGTTAAATACATGTCTAACTTTGCACAAGAACTCCTGAACCGTGTGTGAGAGCTCAAATGGCAAAACTGGGAACGTCTAAATCTGAATCTCAAATGTAAACTTTATGAAATCATAAAAAAAGAAAGTATTATGCCTTGATCTGATTTCTCATTGCAATAAAAAGGTTTATAGTCACATTTTTGGATATTTTGGAAGTTTTACAGAGTGTCTTGAGTCTTATTTTGTGCAATAACATCACTTAGTTATTGAAAATCATCATTTTTAGCTTTTATTTACTGCTAATTTGTTGCAGGAACACTCAGCTGACAAAAACCCTAAARCTTTCTCTCATCTTTGAGTTATTTGTCTTTAACTCAAGACCACAAAAGATCAATAAAACAAAGAGAAACCTGTAAAATTCTGCTGCAAAGAAAAGYGGAAATTTGAAACATGTCGACATGTGTGGCATCCACATTTATTAGTGTATTTATGTATGCAGGTAGCTTCAGGGTCCATTCTTCACACTGGTCATATTTAAATTACAACAGGTAATGGTGGCCTCTCCTCAGTTCTGTGCGACCATAATGTATCAGTCTTCTGAATGCAACATTTATATTGTCAGTTTCGTCTCACAGCCAGTCAAGCTCAGTCAATATAAAAACCTGTTCCTGTGTGCAGACGCACTTGTAAAAGGCCTGATTCTCCACCCCGCACTTCCATAGGTGCTTACACGCTGCAGGGGTCGAGGTGTGAAATGTCAACACCAGTTTTTTCTGCGCAGTAAAGGACAGACAGAGACAAAAAATGCAGGGAAATGATTACCAAAGGATGCGTGAATCGGCAGAAGTGTTGGACACAATGTGAGGGAGCTGCACAAAATGCTGACCCGCTGGCCAAAAGCTGTGAGCTTAGCARGATTTCAGACAGATATAGTGATTCGGCTGCAGTGTTTCGGCAATAAAAGGGCTTGTAGCTTGCAAGACGATGGGTCTTTATAGACAAGGAGAAGCGATTTATTCCTGTAGACGTGTAATTCTCAGTCCTGTGTGTCTGGTAACATGAGACAGCAGATCAATCTGGCTCAGAGGGGAGGCTGGAGAGCGAGGCAGAAGCAGAGAGGAAACAGTGAATTCAATAACAGGGGAGTGAGTTACTGTAACACAATATGATGCCAGACGTCACAACTCTAAAATTTGCAAAGCAGTGCGAACACATCTGATGTCAAATTTAGACTTTCTTTTGTAGTTTTTGTTGTTTAGTGGTCACTACAATGCACAGCTCCCTCTTTCTCATACATCAGGTTATATCAGGGTTGCACCGTGACTTACACACATGCACTGCAGCATGTGTGCGCGTGTGTACATTTAAGTGTGCGTATAAAAGTGGCAGAACTGCATGTTTGTCACATCTTGATATACTGGCTTTAGTCCCACTTTGGCCGACATGCAAAGATGCTCTGACAGCATGATGTTTTTATGAACAGTTAACGACTCGTAAATGTTAAAAATGTGTGTTTAGCTGCACACAAACATAACATTTAGGAGCATTAACAATCAATACAGAAATAGCATGCTTTTTCTTTTTAGTCTTAATTGACTTTTGGAACACCAGCTGGTAACGAGCATTTAGTGAGAATTAAAACAAGGGTAAACTAAATTTTTAAAAAGTTTACATTGTAAAATCATTAAAAGTTGCCAATCAGCCCAAAGTGGGAAAGATAATCACAGGTGAGAGCAGAAAGTGATTTAATGATGTGATCAGTGATGTTATGAATAACGCTGAACAGACAACAAACTCACACACACATATGCACACGACGGTAAGGGTAAAAAAAGGGGTAAATAATGTCTTACATAAAATACAAAACACAGAAGAGGTTACCGATTATGCTTCATAATGTTGCATAATTTACAGATTAATGAAGCTTTAAAGGTAAGTTTGATCATGTTGCCAAGAAAGAAAAAACTAAAAAAAAGGTTTAAAATACCAATGAGAAAGCATGACAAAACAACAACAGAGAAGAACAATAAAGAAAATAAATGCAGGGTTTCTCCCATCATTAACAGGAGTAAAAGGCAGGACTGCGGGGAGAGGTGCCAAAGTGAGGATTTAATAACACTTTGTGCCTTAAATTTGTATTTACTCACCCGAGAAGACTGTGTTTAAACACAGAGAGAAGAGACAGAAACACAAAGATAAAACTACATCTCCAGGCTTTCATGAGTAGCCAAACAAACAGAAGCAGACTGACATGCTAAGCAGGGATGGAAGAGAACGATGAAGCTGATATTAAGAGAACAGTTATGAAACCAATCAGCTGAGTGGTAAGTTAAAATGATAGGCCAGATCTATTAAAGTGAAGTTCTGTGGGAAAGTTATAAACAATCATTTAAATTATCTCCATTTAGAGATAAAGTTTAATTGTGACCAAAACAATGAGCTAACGGCCAATCTACGTGAGACCAAAGTGGATTACTGTCATCTTAATACAACTCCTTTGCACAGGTGTTGAAGTCATTTACTATAACAGAAATCCACTCATAAAACTAGCCATTTGCTCATCTGTCCAATCAGAATTAAGCTATCTACAACAGGTAAGATGCTGCTTGTTCATAACCTCCCCACAGAACCCCACTTCACACGTCCAAACTACCCTTTTAAAGAGCAAATATGKTTCCAATTCTCACAAATTATTCCTCAAAAGAAAGATTGCACAAGGCTCTCAGTCTCTACCACAGCTCTGCTGGAATGATTTAAACCAAGATGAAAAATGTGTCCTAAAAATATACATCTGCTGCTGTAAGGTCAGCTTATGAGGTCACAGATATCTATGATGCACAATCAAACACAAATTAAGAGAGTAGTTGTAACACACCCACCATCCTGTTACAGTGAATCCTGCCTGTTAAGAAGATCTGAAACAGCGACACACATATAGGTTGTGTGTGATGGTGGACAGGATTACAAACAGTACACTTTATCTGACATTTTACACGGATGGAGAGGAGGGGAGGGAGGCAGAGGGGAGGAAAGACGACAGAGAACCAAAGATGTAGAGTTCAGTTTGAGTTCACAAACACAGAAATAACTGTGCATCTAAATCTACATCACACACTTTTTTTTTTGCAGGAGTACAAACGTTGGAGGTAGGGATTATTGATTCCACATGATGATGATAATGACTTGTGCACGTTTTCCCAATTCATCATTACGATGAAGTGATTCGCACCTCACATGCTACTCATCATTTTGCACCTTTTCAGAGACAAAACAATCACCTCTTTCTGGATCCCGATGACATAAAAAGTTTTCCCTTCAAACTTCAGCTTGCTGACATCAGCCCTGCAAAACCACAGGGGAAATATTTTATAAAAACAAATCATGATTTAGAATACAAAAATGTACTGTATAAACCAGAGGTGCCCAAAGTGGGGCCTGCGGGCCAAAATTGGCCCACCAGAAGTTGTCCTGTTTACTAGATTATAATTATGTTAAGATTAAATATAAAATACAAGTAACTACAAGAGACGTTTAGATTAGATTTAAGCCCATATATAGATTTGCACACCTTATAAGACCACATATACTCAAATTTTAAATTATGAAAAGTCCCATGAGCCTTTGTTGCCTGAGCATATGTTGAATTTTCTCCATGTCCATTGGCTGAAAAAAAAACTAAAGAATGTGGGCAACCGCATTGACTGCTGGCTTAATCATGAAAAATAAAACAACTTTACTTTACAATTTGCATTTCTTATATTATTGCATTTGGCCCGCGGCCCTCAGATTGATTTTAATTTTGGCTATCTCAGGGAAAGTGTTTGGGCACCCCTGGTATAAACAATATATATAAGGTAAGACAAAAAAAAAAAAAAAAACAGCTGGTCGAAGTGTAGTTTACACACATGCACTTTAGTGTTTCACAGCTGTGAAATTTCTTAAAGTCAAGAAAGACTTTAATGTGGATACTTTCAAACATCTTACGTAAATTTAACTTAAAATATACAACGCAGTCCTTTTGATAAACTACTCATCACACATCATAATATATTATTATATTTATTATTGCTACCTGATTCAAAAAAGCAAAAATTTCTTAGCATAATTTATTTTTGAATTTTCCATGTTTTCCACTAAAACAAATAATTGAAAATAGAAGCTCAGTTGCATTTAAAAAAAAGAGCATAAAACAACACTAAATGTTGCTCTGTAATCKTAAAAAAAAAACTGTCTGACCAAATACCATAAGTTCTTTTACAAAGGTAAATATTTGACATTTAAAGTTGTACCATTTGAGCAGGTGAATCCTCTTGTTTCCCTGGAAAACAACAAAACCTGTGGCTGTGAAACCCAGAAAAGCGGTCGCACCTGTGAAGTCCTGAAAAACACACAGATGCACCCGTGTGCATTATGTCCCAGCGGTGGTTTAACAGCAGGGAAGTAAATGAGGCTTCACATCAATGCAAAACGAAAGTATTCATAAAAGAAAAACTGGATTCTTTCAAACCTCAACATTTGGTAAGCTTTTAGAACACAGAATAAACCATCCACAAGCAAAAACATGATCACGTGGCAGGTGATAATAACTACCAGCCTCACAGACAGACAGCGGTTAAACTGTTAAATTTACCTTGCATGGATGTGGGTCGACGCCGTACGTCTCCAGGGTGTARGCCCTTTGCAACATGTTCAGCTCTGCTAGCGCAGCACTCTGGCCTCTTCCAGAGAAGAAAGGGAGAGATGTACTAATTAAACTCATTACTGTTTTTGTTCATCTCTTAAGAAATTTACAAATAAAATGATTTAATAGAAACTGAACATTTGACTAAAAGTCAAGCTGAATCCTTCCTGATCAAAACTCCACACACACAAAAAGGAAAACGTCTCGGCGGTGGAAATCACCTGCAGTCAGAGTGAATCTATATGCTGTAATCCTGTCAGGGCAGAAAGGAGCCTCCTGTGAGGGATTTGCCATTGATGTGCTCTAATCTTTGTAAGTGTGACGGTCACAAGCCTCCCAAAGTTATTAATCACAGGCAAGATATACCAACATCCCATCGGATGTCCCAGGGGAGAGGATTTACACGACGTTATAACATGTAAGCTTATTATATAGGAGCTTACTCTGCCTAAACACTACTAGAAGTTTTATCTATATTACTTTGTAATTTTTGTTAAACTTTCTTCAAACTAATGCAAAGCAAGGCACTTAAAAACACGTAAATATTTTATGCCTATTCCTCCGCTTATTTGTTTGCTTTAAAGCCAATCGTTGCCGAACCCACCATCTAAAATGTGATAAAACATAAATCTCTGTGTATGGCACAACTTTGTCTCCAGCTGAAACGAGAGACAGRTCTTTATTGTCTGTGGAGTGGAGCTTCACAGCTCGTTCTGCAAACACAGATCACAGGAGTGAACATCTGCTGTCATCCACTTCAAGCTGATAAAGACTGCGTTCCAGACAACAAACAACTCCGCCTGTCTTACAAAACTCTGTCTTTTTTTTCCTGACCTGAGCTCATTCTTGTGTATTTCCATAATCTTCCGCTCTAATTTGAGCGATTGTTTGGGGAACAGTTTGAAGTCTCTGATATAATCTGATGGGTGCTCCTCCGGGTCGTAGTCTCCGAGCTCAGCTGAAAGGAAAAGAAACTAAAGTTTATATCCAATATATTAGCTTGATGCAAAATAAATCAATTAAAATTCTTGAAATTGAACAGATTATACAAACAAAATATTGTGTATTCTATCTTTTCTATATATAATTTTCACAAAATTATGTTTGGCAAGGATTAATATCTCACATTAGTAGGAAAGTGGATAAAAATGATAAATAATCTGGTTAAGGGTTCAGATTATAGATTTGTGTCTGTAAGTGATATCAGTGCTTCATTCAACACAATAACAAAATGGAGACATACACATAATGGAGTTAAGGAAAATAATTGAAATTGGTTTAAATTATATGTWTTAGGAGGATCGCAGTTTGTTGTTGAAAACAAATTTATCTTTTTCACTCATCAAAGTCATGGAGTTCCACAGGGTTCTATATTGGTTACATATATATTTCTTTATACTCGGTAACAACAGACACAAAAGAAAAATGTTTATTGTTAAACTGATACTATTCAGTTATTCTTACTTGTGAGTTCAAATGAACCCAGTCAACCTTTCAGGTGACATTCATGTCTCGGAAACTAAAAGGCTTTTATCACTCAATTTTAATTTTCTGCGTCTAAAATCGGACAAAACAGAGCTTGTTTGGTTTGGACCTGAGCAAACTGGCTTTATCCATTCACCTACTCTGGATGGCATAACAAGTATTTCAGTACCAGTTATATAAGAGACTTTAGAGGTATTTTTGACCTTATAATCTTTGGCAAAAACATATCCAGCCACTCATTTTGTCTGCACAGCAATGCCAAAAGTGGAAACATCTTTTCACAACGTGATGCAGAAATATTTCATCTGGTTTGGACAATTGTTGACAATTATCATCAAGATGCCCCAAAAATGTCCCAGAAAAGTTCTAAAAATGCAGGGAGAGGTCATATTTTGTATTCAAACATGACTTTTTGTTTTAACTCCAAGTCATTTAGATATACTTAAATTACTTCTGATCACATTTATAGTTTTTAATCCCAATCTCAACTGTTACCTAAGGTTTTCATGGTTCCAAAATTTCCTAACAGGGAACTTTGTTTTTCTGGTTTTCAGAGTAAGGGCATATTACTTCATCATCACATTTACAGAGCTCCCCAGGGTTTCAAATACCTTTAATGCCTTTTAAATAAGGCTTAAAACTTTATTTTTATGGCAATGTTACAGATAAGGTTGGCTTGAGTTCATTTCTGCTCATAATTTATAATATCATCTCCCCTGGTTTCTGGAATATGGTTAACTATAGAGCTCTGGTTACAATTTTCACACACACAAAACAAGAGTTTCATTTCTGGTTTGAGGTCGTTGTTTGAAGAGCAGCTGAGTGTGAACCATTACCTGCACCGAGTCATTAATGTGAAACTTATTCAGCGAATAGTGAGCCTGATAATTACTTTTCCTCTGATAAATGTGCTCTCCAAGAGTACTTTAAACAATAAAACTGCAGAAATCTTAATCACCTGTGATTTTAGTGACTTATCACACATTTTTACAGTAACAGATAGTATGAGTGTTGCATCAGTGAAAACAACAAAAGCTTTATTTACAGTTTATTAAATGTTATTTGTGTCAGTGAGCTTGGTTGCTATTATTAAAGTCTTAAACAGGATATACTGGTTTCTACAGAAAAGGATAATCATAATAGGACATCCATGTAAAAAGCAGTACTGCTCATTGGATTTGGAAGAAAACCCCTGAGACCATAATTTTTATATTTGTTCTTAATTAATAATGATAGCAAAGGTTAAATCAAAAACTTGCCCCGAGTTTAATTAACCAATAATCCTCAAACGGTTCTGCAGCTCTCTAATCAACACCTTGACAAAGTGGGACAGGGACCCGTCCTCGTTAATCCGTGCAGCACAATGATGCACAGCAGACACGCTCCGGGTCGAGATAAACCAACCAGTCACACTCAGCTCTCCGAGGATACGAGCTCATCAGAGAACGTTAGCTCAATTTAATGGTTTGTGTAACAGCCGGAGGGCTTCATTTATACGATGCAGCCTCGTAATCCACACTAAAGAAAGTGGCTCGGTGCTCTGATTTGACATTTATCTTTCAGTGCTAATTGAGAGGAAGAAAAACTCTTTATTCCTTTTTTTCCCAGAGGTTCATCCCTTGGTGTTTTAAAATGTGAGATTATAACCTCAGTCTAATGAGTTGAAATGCAGCCAGTTAATGAGCTGCGGACCAAAGGGGATGGCCAATAATGCACAGAGATTGTGCTGTAAACATGCTGCTTGTGCTTTGCTCAAAGTATAATATTATGGTATTATACTGCTTCAGCTGCTCATTAAGAGCTCCTTCTTATCTTTATGCTGAAAAATTAAAACTGCAAGGTGCTTCTTGTTTGCAGAGATTAATTTATATTACATACATTTACATTAATTTCACATACAGGTGAAGTTAGGAGGACGTAAGCAGGCCTCACCCTGAACAATGCAGGCTCCCAGAAATGCAGCCTCAGCGAACGGACACAGGAGGCGACCGTGGTAGATGTCTCTCTTCAGCTGGAGGTACAGTAGATACCTGACATAACACACACACACACACACACACACACACACACACACACACACACACACACACACACA